TGTGTGTGTGTGTGTGTGTGTGTGTGTGTGTGGAGGTGTTCCTGAACGACACCATCATCACATCGCCTGTGAGACTCTTCATCTTTATTCCTCATTGCAGCTCTAGTCTGTATGCTGCCATCAATGTCTTCATCAGGATCTGTGCTTTATATTCTCATAATAGCTTTAGCATCTCTATCCGTCTGTCTGTCATTCATTGTTTCTGTTTATCGTTTTATCTATCTATCTATCTATCTATCTATCTATCTGTCTGTCTGTATATCTGTCTGTCTGTCTATTTATCTATCTACTGTCTGTTTGTCTGTCTGTCTGTATTCTGTCTATAATCTGTCTGTCTGTAATCTGTCTGTCTGTCTGTCGTTCATTGTTTCTATTTATCATTTGATGTATCTGTCTGTCTGTAATCTGTATTCTGTATGTAATATGTCTGTAATCTGTCTGTCTGTAATGTGTCTATTCTGTCTATAATCTGTCTGTCTGTCAATAATCTGTATTCTGTCTGTAATCTGTCTGTCTCTGTCATTCTATCTATCTATCTATCTATATTCAGTCTGTAATCTGTCTCTCTGTCTGTCATTCATTGTTTCTATTTATCATTTTATCTAACTGTCTGTCTGTAATCCGTCTGTAATCTGTATTCTGTCTCTAATGTGTCTGTAATCTGTCTATCTATCTGTCTGTATTCTGTCTTTCTGTCTCTATTCTGTCTGTAATCTGTCTGTACTCTGTCTGTAATGTGTCTGTAGTCTGGCTGTAATCTGTCTATTTTTCTGTCTCTATTCTGTCTCTCTGTCTCTATTCTGTCTGTAATCTGTCTTTCTGTCTATATTCTGTCTGTATTCTGTCTCTCTGTCTATATTCTGTCTGTATTCTGTCTCTCTGTCTCTATTCTGTTTGTAATCTGTCTGTCTGTCATTCATTGTTTCTATTAATCATTTGATCTATCTATCTATATGTCTGTCTGTATTCTGTCTGTAATCTGTCTGTCTATTCTGTCTGTATTCGGTCTGTAATCTATCTGTCTGTCTATATTCTGTCTGTATTCTGTCTGTAATCTGTCTGTCTGTCGTTCATTGTTTCTATTTATCATTTGATCTATCTATCTATATGTCTGTCTGTATTCTGTCTGTAGTCTGTCTATCTGTCTGTCTGTATTCTGTCTGTAATCTTTCTGTCTATTCTGTCTGTATTCTGTCTGTAATCTGTCTGTCTGTCATTCATTGTTTCTATTTATCATTTGATCTATCTATCTATATGTCTGTCTGTAGTCTGTCTATCTGTCTGTCTATTCTGTCTGTATTCTGTCTGTAATCTATCTGTCTGTCTGTATTCTGTCTGTCTGTCTGTATTCTGTCTGTAATCTGTCTGTCTGTCGTTCATTGTTTCTATTTATCATTTGATCTTTCTATCTATCTGTCTGTCTGTATTCTGTCTAATCTGTCTATCTGTAATCTGTCTGTCTGTAATTCATTGTTTCTATTTATCATTTGATCTATCTATCTATCTATCTATCTATCTATCTATCTATCTGTCTGTATTCTGTCTGTAATCTGTCTGTAATCTGTTTGTCTGTCATTCATTGTTTCTATTTATCATTTGATCTATCTATCTATCTATCTGTCTGTCTGTCTGTGTTCTCTCTGTAATCTGTCTATCTGTCTGTCTGTATTCTGTCTGTAATCTGTCTGTAATCTGTCTGTCTGTCCGTCAGGAGTATCCAGTGGCGCCGGCGGAAGCAGCTCTGGCCGTTCCTCTGCTCCAGTATGGCTCAGCCGAGCTCGTGTGCTCAGAGCAGTAACGGTGTGGCCGACGAGTCTCCCAACATGCTAGTCTACAGAAAAGTAAGTGAATCATCATCTCCTACAACACCTGCAGACATGAACGGTCCTGCTCAATCAGCATTAGATCGTTCCGATAACTCGATATCGATGTGCGCTGATTTAATTTCTACAGCTGCCTGTCTTTTCGATGCTCAGTCAGGACGTGTGTGTTGGTGTTGTGAAGGCTTTGACACCATGAGTTCTCACCAGTGTTCAGTGGCGATAAAGCAGGACTAAAGCTGCTGAATCTCCTTCAGTTTGAAGCTGTTTGCATTTTATAACTTTATTCATCATGCAACGGAATTTAAGAATTACTCTTCATTAGTAACGGACTTCATCTCAGCGTGCTTTAAAATCGGTTTGGTTTTGAAACATGAAGAGCTGGAGTTTGTAGGTGTGATTTCAGATGTACAGATGTTGCACTGATATCTCAAACGGAGCTGCTCTCATCCTCACAGATGGACGTGAAACCGTGTTTGAGCTGAGAGACTCTGACAGCTGCCATGTTTCAGAGACTTGAGGAACGATGGTGTGTTATTATATTGTTAGTTAACTGCTAGTTCTGTTCCACTAATTCATTTGGACAAGCGACAGTTCCAAAGTGTGGATGTTTCGTATAACGTCTTTTTGAATTATTTTCATTGATTAACTCTTGTGCTGAATATCCCTACTTAATTTAGTGTTTTTAGTCAAAAATGACTGGCTTTTAAAAAATTGCTCGTAAATCTTTTATCACCAAATCTTGAATTTGTATTTCAGGTTTTGTATTTCTTTTTGGAGCTGATTGATCTTAGGCCTCATCGATCTGAGCTTATGCACCTCAGTTTTTGAATGAATAAAGAATATTTGTGAATAATTTTGGCAATATTCACTCAAAAAGTGAGGTCAGATCAATGAGTCCTACAATCAGTCAGCTCCATAAAGATATACAAAACCTGTGCAAACAAGAAAACAAGTTAATAAAAAGATTGAATCCCAGATTTGGTAATAATATAGCATAATGAGGGACTTCTAAGCAATTTTAGTAGGCCGATCATTTTTGACACCACAAGTGTAACAAGACAAAATCCCAAAAAAGGGCAAAAAAAATTTATCCATATTTTTTGGTAAGTTGTTATACCCTGTATGAGTGAAGACAGTAAGTTTTAGTCCAATTTGATAACGTTAATAATAATAATAATCTTTATTTTATATAGCGCCTTTAAAGTAGCTTCTCAATGCCCTTTACACAGTAAAACAGAAGAATAAAAATACAAAGCATACAAAGCAAAAACGGGTAAAAGAAGCAAATAACAACTAACCTAAAAAAGTGTGTTTTTAGATAAGATGAGGGTTAAACACAAACTGTAACACTTTACATTAAAATCTCATTACTTAATGCATTAAATAACATTAACTAACAATAAGCAATAGATTTTGGTTCATCATTTATTAATCTTTGTTAATGTTTGTTCATGTTAGCTCTGGTCTGTTAAATAATACTAACAAAATGCAACTTTTGATTTTAATAATGTATTAATAAATATTGAAACTAACATCAACTAAGATTAATAAATGCTTTAGAAGTATTTTTCATAGTTAACTCATGTAGTTGGAACTGTATTGTAAAGTGTTAACGCAAAAGCAAATAAAATATCTTGCAATATTGTGTCTGAAATATCTGTAACTCTATATTACGTGAAGTCAACATGAAATAAATTTGTTGCTGCGAACGTTCCTGATATTTATTGTGCAAGAATTATTATTCCATACATTATTCTAACGTGACAAATGTTTATTTTCATAATCTTTCATTAAAATGTAATAGCTTTCTCATTGAAGTCCTCTTTCTGTTTCAATCCCTACACTCTACATGGCTTGATTCTGGTCAATTTCCCATGTTACTTTTTGTGTTGTTAAATATCATTTTTCACTCAGAAATATGTCAATTACAGAAGTAGATCATGCAAATTGGAAAATTATGGAAATAAATTGGGATGTTATTGGCTTTTCATGTTGACTTCTTGTTTACAGACCTATTATATAAAAGCAGCATCACACTCGCAGTCGTTGATGAATTCCCAGCTTTACACCAGTTATCTTGGTTCGGTTCGGACGAGGCCTTTGGCTCCTGGTCTTTCCACCCGTCCACTGCCACCCCATCAGATTAACTGTGTGTTTGGTGCGCTGGTCAAAGCTTTAGGTCACTAACTGGTAGAGCGATTGGAGTCCAGCTGGAGGCGACACAAGCGCATCAGCGTGTTTCCTCTGCAGGATAATATTTGGGCTCTTGTGAAGTGTGCTAATGGCTCATCACTGACGCGTGTGTGGGCGAGCGCCTCGTCTGCGTTGCCATGTTTGTAGGTGGTTTTGTAAGTACGTTGGTGTGTGTAGCTCTGGTTTGCTTTGCCATGCAGAAAAGTTAAACTTTTCAAGCATCAGGCTAGTGCTGGTTCTTTACTCAGACTCCTGAACTCATTTCCACCGCAGGCGTGTTGATGCTGTCATTCAGAATTGTCAGAGACTAACCCTAACCCAACATTACAACAGTGGCCTCAAATGTATTTGCACACTTAAAAATGTCTGAATGACCTTGCATTAGAAAAAAGATCAAATCAAGAGTCATTTGTTGTAAAGAAAGATGCAAAAGGAAGTTTGTTGGGTTTTAGATGCTGAATCAATAGATGTTTAAGATTAAGTTAGGTTAGTGGTTAGTTAGTGAGTCATGTTAATGGTTCATGTGATTCTGTGTGAACTTGAGCAGAACTGACTTCATACATCCATTAAAAATCACCAAAACGCACTGACACTTCAAACAGTTCTTAGAAAATTGTGAGATATAAACTCGCAATTCTGAGGAAAAAAAGTCAGAAACTTAGAATTACGAGTTTATAACTTGCAATTTGGAGATTTTAACTCACAGTTCTGAGAACAAAAGTCGTCAAGAGGACAAAACGCAAGACGCAAAGTCAGAATCGCGAGACGTAAAGTCAGAATCGCGAGATGCAGAGTCAGAATCGCAAGACGTGAAGTCAGAATCGCGAGATGCAGTGTCAGAAAAGCGAGATGCAAAGTCAGAATTGTGAGACGTAAAGTCAGAATCGTGAGATCGCGAGATGCAGTGTCAGAAAAGCGAGATGCAAAGTCAGAATCGCGAGACGTAAAGTCAGAATCGCGAGACGCAGAGTCAGAATCGCGAGACGCAGAGTCAGAATCGCGAGACGTAGAGTCAGAATCGCGAGACGCAGAGTCAGAATCGCGAGACGCAGAGTCAGAATCGCGAGACGCAGAGTCAGAATCGCGAGACGCAGAGTCAGAATCGCGAGACGCAGAGTCAGAATCGCGAGACGCAGAGTCAGAATCGCGAGACGCAGAGTCAGAATCGCGAGACGCAGAGTCAGAATCGCGAGACGCAGAGTCAGAATCGCGAGACGCAGAGTCAGAATCGCGAGACGCAGAGTCAGAATCGCGAGACGCAGAGTCAGAATCGCGAGACGTAAAGTCAAAATAGCTAGACGTAGAGCCAGAATCGCGAGACGCAGAGTCAGAATCGCGAGACGCAGAGTCAGAATCGCGAGACACAGAGTCAGAATCGCGAGACGTAAAGTCAGAATCGCGAGACGTAAAGTCAGAATAGCGAGACGTAGAGTCAGAATCGCGAGCAGTGATGGCAGGATAAAGTCAGAATCGTGAGACGTAAAGTCAGAATCGTGAGACGCAAAGTCAGAATCGTGAGACGCAAAGTCAGAATCGCGAGACGTAAAGTCAGAATCACGAGACGCAGAGCCAGAATCGTGAGACGCACAGTCAGAATCGTGAGACGCACAGTCAGAATCGCGAGACGCAAAGTCAGAATCGTGAGACGTAAAGTCAGAAACGCGAGACGCAAAGTCAGAATCGTGAGACGTAAAGTCAGAATCGCGAGACGCAGAGCCAGAATCGCGAGACGCAAAGTCAGAATCGCGAGACGCAAAGTCAGAATCGCGAG